CGCCCAGTGTAAATGTTTTTACAGGACGCGAGCGCGATTCGATCGGGCTATTTACCGAAATCAATTGATCGGACCTGAGTGTGATTCACTGCGGCTTCTTCCCTTTCTTTGTCCGCTACGGTTTTTTTCATTGTGCTTTCACTTTCATATCGTCGCTCTTTATTTCGACTTCGAGTACGCGAGCCGCGGCTTGTTTTAATAGCCAATCGCTCGAGGCGCGCGCGCGCGCGCGCGCGCAGACGCTTCTTCTTTTATCGCGTATTTCGTGTATTTCATTCGTACGACGGGTTCACGCGTCGTTCACTTTTTTCCTCTAATTGAGTAGGCGAACGAAGCGAACGCTCTTGGCAATTTAAATCGCGCTTGCTTCCCAATGAAGCTGGCATTGTTGCCGAGAGACCCGATAAACGACCATTCAGAAACTCGGCGAACGTTCGACACTTTGCTCGTACGCAAGATCCTCAGACTTTTCACGCGATTGAGCGATTGGCGTTCATCGTTTATTCGAACGAGATGGTCCATATCGCGCGCGAGTCCATTATTAAAATATTCATCGACCAATCAAGCTCCCATCGCAGTAGTATCCATTTGTTATTTGGCCGCGTACACAGCAGTGGTCCAGCAGGACTCGCGACCGCGCGCGCATCGTTTATTAATGGAATCATTCCTTTCCATAAGGTCGAGTGCGCGCGCGTATATCCCCCCCCCCCCCCCTCCCTTGGCGTAAATATTAAGCGGAATGAAAAGCCACTTGATAATAGAACGACGCGAGAACAAAGCCACACTGACACGACGTATAAATAGCACGGGCAGGCAGGCAGGCAGGCAGGCAGGCAGGCAGGCAGGCAGGCAGGCAGACAGACAAACACCTAATAAAAGTCAGTGCGCACGGTAGTTCATTAACCCTCGCGATCCACATGGCGAATGACGATGGCGCTCTATAGCTTACATACGTAATGCTTGTGGAACGCGTGCGCGCAAAGTCCGATTCATTATGCAGCAGTATAGAGACGCACGCACGTACGGAGAGCTAACCGATCCAATACTGAAATTAGTACCCGCATTACGCCCTACACTCCCGTACTCCCGCAGAGAGCATACGCCGCGTGCACCAGACAAAGTGCCTCGGCTCTTATCTCGTCGCCCCCATATAAATAAGCAAACGCCCGTGCACCGTGGGTGTGATTCGTGCGAGGATTATTCGCGCAACCCCCCTGGTTCGCCGTTCGATACCCCGGATCCCCCTGCGTCGCGCGAAAGCCCCGCCAAGGGCTGGGCTCGCTCTCTTTTTGCCCGGCAGCGACGCGACGCCGTGGAATGCGAAGAAAGAGAAGCCAAGCACGAGGGGGCCATTATATTAAAAAGTGAGAGAGCGAGGGCGCGAGTTACGAGTGGGCCGCACTAACGGAGAACATGCTGTCGAAATTTGCCGAGGTTTATTATTGGGGACGTGAGCTTTTCTCTACACGACACGGGCTGTGTGTATTATTTGTTGCGCTCTTTGCCTCCTGCACGTATTGTGCTCGCTAGTAAGTAATGAGCTTGAAAGGGTGCTACTGAATTTCTGATCGCACTGCACGTGTTTACGCAAGATAAAGCTTTAATTCCGTCCTTATGCTGTGGTTAAATTTTTCCAGTGAATCATTCAGTAACGCTTTTTAGCAATGAGCAAACATCGCTGCGCATTGGCTTTTTCTCAGCGAATGATTTATATGCCGATCCGACGGTCTAATAAATTTAGCTGCAATTTATACAAATAAATCACGTTCCCGAAAAAGCATGTCGTGTGCGAGTCTCGTACCAATTTGTGTGGAAACTTCAATATTAAAACTGAAAGAAACTAGAAATTCAACAACTTTGAAAAAAGTTTTGGGAAGGACCACACCCGAAAGCCGACAAGCTCGGTTAATAAAAAAACTAAAGAAATATCGTCGAAAAAAATTTCTTTTCTTTTCTATCGGTAATACCCCGGCAAAAAGAACAGTACGTATTGCCCCTCGATCGGCATTTAAAACTCGCCTAATGCCAAAAGTCAAAGCAATACTTAAACTGAGCCCCTGCTATAACAAAGTGTAACCGGAGTGAGAGAAAGTACAGGGGGATACATTGCACTGACTCCGGGTTTACATACTTTCTTAATGGTTCGATTTCGGGGAGCTTACAATTTGGCGGCCCCTTTAACTGCGCGAGAGATAGTCGACCCTTGATGACGCGCGAGTAGCCGCGCAGCTTCTGAGATTACAAAATAGGCGCGCGCGGATTCGCACTCACACCCCTGTTTACACGCGGATATCCCGACGTAGAGTCACGAAATTGGACGCTGAGTAATGGAGGGGAGGAAAAAAAGAAGTGGACTTATCGCGGGGCGCGAGGCTAAACAGTGTGTTCGAGGGGTGCCAAATGATTTATCGCGCGCGATGAGCTCTCTCCTCCTTTGGAAACCGATACGCGTGTGCGCACTCGATGCGTCAGACGCCAAACGCGGGGAGAGATTAAATTTTTCCGAGAATGCGGAAAGTCGAAGGCAGTATTTGACCTTTTTTTTTTCGTACAAAATCCGATTGTATTAACGTCCTAATAAGAGCACCGATCTCTTTCTTTCTCCACCCCAAAAGGGCAGTAAACAATGCTTAATGCGCTCAAAATGTCACTGACACTCATTGGACTGTATAGATAGAAGCCATTCTTTTTTATACTGTCAATATAAAATCGTAATAAGATACGAATTGGGACTTTCTTTTTCTTCCGTCGGATGTTGGAGAAATGTTTACGTATATTTGATGATCGAGCGAAAGGAAAACTATTCGATCGATGAATATCATTAAAATCAACGGGTCCTTGCTGCAACGTTAACAAACCATTTTCGATTTAAAGCGAAAGAGGCAGCTCACGTGAAATTGGAAACGCAAGAAGCAATTTTCCAAGAAACTCATCAACTAAATGCTTCTTTAAAGGAGCCAATATTTCAATCAAAGTGCGCAGCAGCAGCACCGTTTGTATATACCACAAAGGAGACATAGGCGCAGTCGTTATATACCAAGCGGGTCAATTCAATTTACTGAATGTTCGACAATAAAAATGCCATTTCGATAATTGACGCTTCTGCCGAATTACAATAAAAAGAGAGGAAGGGAGAGAAAAATAGAAAAAGAAACAAGGTGAAGCGAGGAAATTTACAAAATGGGGCGATGAGTACTTTGCGCAGTTAAGGTCCATCAGCGCTGAAAAATTTCAGAAAAGAAAAAAGTTGGCCTACCGATTGATTGGGTCTGGCAGTAGCTCTCTTTTTACTCTTTTAATTAGGCGGAAAGATATATTTAGTTTTATAATTCGCGGAGTAAGGAGCGCGTCTCTTTCGTTGCCGCTTCAAAATGAAAATTTAAAAGTTTCCGTGGTCGGGTCATCGCCGCTGCCCTCAAAGTTGAGCGTCGATAATAAAATTCCGATGTTTTTAGCAAGTCGTCGGATGGCTGAAAAGCTCGATATCTTTGAATGCATTGCAAAGAGCGTGATGGCGCGCACAGCTGTATCAAAGGCCACTCTTGTAGCCAATTCTTTTCGGCTCGCGTATATATACGTACGTATATATAAAGCCACTCTTTCCACCCCTGTATAACTCACGGCCGACGGCTCCTTCCAATATATATTTTAAAAATTTCAAATTCAATTCTACTGCAATCCGCCAGCCAATATCTTCTGTCGAATTGTCACACCTATACAATCGTGAAATAACGCCCGCTATATATTCTCTCTCGCTGTCTCCCGAATTTTGTCTTTGTCAATTAATGCCCATGGGAAAAACAAAGTTGTAGAATATACGTAAACGCGTAATTGCAAACTCCGATAAGATGTTTGTCGCAAAGAGAAAAAAGTGTGACAATTAGATTTATCATCTCATTTTCATCGCAGCTCCCTCGTGCCGTGATTATACGTAATCGACCAGTGAGTGACGAGTCAATGAAGGCGCTGTCATCGTGTGACTAACTGCATTTACTCTCGTTATAAACATTGCATGTGCTGACTGCAATAAAGAAATTGTTTACAATACCGCTGTGTATTTATCGAGGAACGCCTGTCAAATAAAATGTTATTCTACAGAGGTGAAAAAAAAACGAAAAACCAGCATAACTTCTTGATTGTTGGGCATTTATTTGACAGTCGGTAAGAAATCCGCGGGCAAAACTTTTCTCGAAAAAATAAAAACCAAGCCACAAAGCATGCGTGCGGATACAGCGAAAAAAAAAAAAAAAAAAAAAACGAGGGGCAAACACCAGAGCGTAGCCGCGTACGTTGATGAACGAAGTGCAATATCGTCGGAGTTGCGCACTCTCGCTTGGCAAAAACAAATCTGGCCTGGCGATGTAGCTCGAATCGATTTATGAGTAATCGGTTTGGTTCGCGCTCGTAAAGCATCTTCCTCTCTGTGGGTCGTTGCATTGCTCGCGTGGAAAGAAAGTAATACGTACTGCTCTCTCTCTCTCTCACTCTTCGACACAGCAATTCTCGCTGCGTGCACACGCACCGCAGGTTACACGAGCGCGGGAGTTATGGCAGCGATCGATCATCCAAGCTCGCGCGGGCTCTTCTCCTTCTGGCTGGCGCGCGACCTGCTAAGAGAATTGCGGCGCGCGCTCGTGGCTGTACTCTCGCCGGCGTTTTCTTATCCTGAGCGTAATCAGCCTAACGGTAAGCCGTGCTACTCTCTGGGAATGCTGCTGAGGCTGCTGGCTTGTGGCTAAAGGTCGCGAGCGCGACCGACCGACACCGACGGCTTTCATATGTGTGTCTAGACCTCGAATTGTTGTTGCGGGAATTCTCGCGCGCAGCCATATAATGTAACTGGCCAACGTCGCCTCTATCCACTCGTCGACGTCGTCGTCGCGAGCGTTGTACTCTTTGCCCATTCTTTCGTTTCTTTTCCCGCAACCGGGAAGACGACTGCTTCTGCATCGAGGCCGCACGTATGCGGGTGGACGTAGCAGGCACACATCGTTATCATTGTTAAATAGACTTGGAGCTGATTGGCATTGTGTTTATTAAAAAAACCTTACAGTTGTTTATATACTTGGACCGTCAAACATTTCTCTCGAACACGCACGACTGTAGGCAAGATTGTCTTCTGCTGAGAGTATGTAATGAGAGTTGATTAATCGACCAATCCAATTCGAGTGGAATATTTTCGATTTCAATCATATGCTGATCGATTGTCTATATGGCTTCGGAATGCCCTTTCACGCGTTCGCTCTCCCCTATCGCAGTTCACTTTCATAATCTAAAATTGCTTCACGCAAATATTCATTCCAATGTTTTTCTTAATCATTTACTCACACGTCGCAAAGGCACTAGTAGACGCATTTTGTTTTATTTTCATAACTGATTACTAATAATATCATGATATCATAGCCTGTCCAACAGTTACTCAAACTGAAAATTACTTTTCAATAATCTCACATTTCTATTGGCAAAACTGTTGAATATTATTGCATCGTTGTTTAGAATAAATAGATACTAAATATCGAGTGTGGTATCTTAAATTTATGCGTAAGTACAACTTGTATAAAAGTATAACAAACAGCAGTCATCATTGTCATTGCACATATAAAATATAACTATAAAAAATATATGTTACGTCATAATTAAGATTATTTATATCAGTTGTATAAAAATCATTTTGTCAAAAATTTAACATTATCTAACGTAATGATATATTTTGAACGATATCACTTTTTCACGAATATCAAAAAATATAGCCAATATTATCACATGAATAAATGGTGGCATTATAGACTAAATGGTGATCTAATCCCAGAGTAGACTGACGGCACACATATAAAAAACCTAGAACTAAATGCAGGTTATCGGTAAAAAACTATATCTGATCTCATCGCAACGAACGCGATAAAGTTATCGTGGTTTTAGCAGACTTGTCGTTGTTTTCTTTTTTTTTTTTCGTTGGTCAATCCGTAAACATTTTTGTACGCCAAAAAAGAGAGCAAAAAGGGAAAAACGGTAACGTGCTGCGCGCGATCTCGTAATTTTCCCACGTCGTCTATCTCTCTTTTCTCGTTCTCTCCCAAGAATCTTCTGCATCCCGTGAAAGTAAAATCCCGCTCTTCTCTCGTAAAAAGCGGGAGCGTTGAGAATCTGCGTGCTGCTGCTGTGGCGCCAGACCTATACCAAGAAAAAATTGTTTGGGCAATGCAACGTGATATTTCCGCTGCTATGATGCATTGTACTTTATTTTCACGATTTTCCATCGTACGCAATGTAAAATTCTTGTAGTTTTCGATAATAAATAAATGCTGCCCCCTTTCCGATTTTTCTTTTTACTGTCAAGTTGTAACCGAACGTGACCGTGAAGAAAAGCGAAATCCAAAATATAGAGGAACGTACAAATATTTTTCCTCGATTATTATATTAATTAAAGCGCAAGCACCTCCGGATGCTATTCGAGTATTCTAGATTTAGGAGAAGATTGACGAACCTACATTTCGAAGGTTAATTTTTGAAACTACGGAAGTGTCCGTGTGCGCGCGACGACTGGCGGCTGACATCGACAAACAATTTACGTTTGGAAAGTTGACTGCGCGTAAAAATCTCTCCGTGTGGTGCATTCTGTTTACGAGAACGACGTCTGTTCGATCTTTCGGGAAAACTACAAGAGGCGGAAATATCAGACACAACAGATTTTAGAAAGTGCATGCTAGCCATACCGTCAGAGCATTTGGGTGTCCTCGTCAACACGTGGTTTTAGCGGTAGTGTTCAAACGGTTTCAGCAAGACTTTGTGCCTCTTTGAGGTCCATCGGTTCAGCAGGAGGTGCTGTCAGCTGTTCAGTTGCTACGGACATGAGCGGCACTTCGACCGCTGGCAGCTTGTTATCGGCCATGTCATCATGCTGGTCGCGAGCTTTAGCTGGGACGAGATGCTTATTGACCAACGGTAGCCAGACCATGCAGACGATGAGGGTGAGTCCAGTGATACCGAAAGTCCAATAGGTACCGAGGCGAGTGTAGATGAGGCTTACGAATACGGGGCCCATGACGCGCGAGGCGCAACCTGCACCGGTCATCAGGCCCATCCATACACCTTGTGGACGTGGGCCCAGCACTTTGCTGAAGATCGTTTGGATAAGGGTGACACCGACCGGATAACCGATAGTCGTGAATCCGTAGCCGATCACGAATTGTAATACTGTCATCCTTGGCGTATAGTAGCACCATTCGTGCTTGCTCGGGCAGCCCAACTTGTCCTTGCCCGTTAGCGGATCCACTGTCTCGTTAAAGTATGCTGTGCGCAAAGATGTATCAGTTTGATAAGCGTGCATATAAAAAAAGAGCAAATTACTAATGCACTTTGAATACACTGCAAAAGATCCACTTGTGTGATGTTACGAGATCGATTTGTTAACTTTTGTGCAACTGTATCTTTCATCGGGCATTCAAATGAAAGGTTCAAAGAAATTATATTAGCATAGTGACGTAATCGAATCTAAACGAAAGGATACGGAAATGACGCAATCGGAAGGCGATCAAAATCAAATCAAATCGAGCGTGGAAGTAGAATAAAAATTGTTTCTATAATGAAATTCTTTTACCTCGAAACGAAGAAAACGATCGAGCAAGGATTTAATTATAATCGAGATGTTGCAGTCAATGGCGTATTCTTTCCGGTTGAGAGCGCTTGCGCGAAAGAAAATCCAAAGAAATAAATATAAAGAAGAGGAAGAAATTCCAGCATAGAAAATGCTGAATATTTATCGCGAAGGCAGCAGCGATGGAAACTTGATGCTTTGTGCGTCCCTTTAAACGGAGAAATTTATTTCGGGAGAAAAAGTTTAATACCCATCTTAAATTACCATAAACGACGCTTCTCACGGGCAAACGTATAAATCCGACGAAACTGATCGGATTGGTTTAATTGACGCCACGCTATTCCCCTCATTCGAAATTTGGGATTCCAGGTACGAGAAGGCGCATCGGATCGCGAGCACATGCCAAGGGAAAGAGTTGACCTTGCAGAGCGAGCTTCTGACACGGCGCGCTCCGGCGATCTTATCGATGTCAAGTCCAGTTCCGAGAGGCCCATTGGCTATCCATATTCATGGATAACTCGGCTATCGTACGCTTTTGAATATTAATCGCGAGCAATAGAAACACGCGACGCGAGCGTCATAATCGCGGCTAAAATCAAGCTACCGAAACCCATAGACCGGACTGCTCGCTGCTTTTTTTATGCGCTTTTAATTCGTTGGAAAAGTTCTTGCTATCGATAAATCTACATGATGTAAGAGGCGAGAGAGCATCTATAAATTAAACGTTGACCAGCACCCATTGATAATCCATCGTCGCCAATTAAATTATGATTGACGAAACCATCTTATCGTTCGATATCGGATTATTTATTGTTAGAAAAGACTGCTGATGAAGTTCGGAAGCCGCCTATTAACACGATTGATGAATTTATGAAGAATGAATGAGACAACATAACTATAGAGTTTACACTACGCATGGGCGCTAAAACTTGGCAGTAATTAAGAACGTTATGATGACGTCACTTTCTTGTTCAAGTGCTTGCGGTAAATTTCACATACGGGCATTCATCATAAACGATTCGGAAAATATTTATCGTGCATTCTTGTGCGCATTTTCAGCTGAACAGAGGCGCGCAATCGGAAAGTAACGTTAACGCAGCGATTTGTTGTAGTAGGCATTGAAAATAGACTGAAATTCAGAGAAAATCAACGAGTGCGTAGCAGTGCACGGCAGCAATTCCCCGTTACCGAATCAAAGACAGAGTAGCCTTGCAAATAAGTGCATCAGAGAGAGAGAGAGAGAGAGGGGGGGGGAGACGAGGGGGACGCGCGCGTACGTGCAAGCGTAGCGTACGTTCGTTAAAAATGAATTAACGCGAGGTGCGGTGAGCGCACGGTCGCACGAAATTGCAAATATAATCGGGCGATTTGCTCGCGACTTACGTCCAAGATCGGCGATGATCGGTGGCTCGGGACCCCAAGGAATGCAAATGACACGGCCTACCACCATGAAGAAGAAGCCACCCCAGAGCATAACGCGTCGCTCGTCAAACCTGCGAAACAGCAGACACAGCGGGCACAATGTAGATCCGGAGACGCTGCGCGATACGCTATGTGTATCGACGGGTTACGCGGGTAATCACCTCTGGCAGAGCGGCTTTATCAGGACGAACGTGGCACAAGCGACCACAGCGCCGACACTCATTAGGAGGCCCATGTAGAACACCGACTCCTCGTTGTCCCAGGCGAATTGATCCATCGTCAGCACGGTACCCAGTCTGCGCACAGAATTTCGACGCTGCCACACAAGCGCTGCTCCGGCAAAGCGAGAGGCAGAAAGACGCGAGCGCGCCACGTCTTTTTTCGCCTTGAGCGGGCGACTCGTTAGCGCGCGAGCGCGCGTCCTCGTCGCCGCGGGGAGAGCGATGACAATAAAATATCAGCCCGTTTTAATTACACCGAATGAAGCTATAACCGCGGGATTTGCATGAATTCTCGTTCTCCTCGGAATGAAATGTTGGCGCGCCGCTTCGTAAAAAGTGAAATTTTGCGCGCGGGAGGCGCCGACAAGCGTTTGTTTTTTCGGCGCGCACGCGGCGACGCGGCGAGCGGGAAAGAGAAGGTACGCACGGCGAAAACTTGTTTGTCGATCGCAGCGTACGCGCGGGAAGAGCAGACCGCGGCCGATGGAAATTTGCAAATAAAGTGTACGATAATTCATACTTTCCCAGGGGCGCGCGCACTCGCGCGCATGCGTACGGCGGAATAATTAATTTTAAAATTACATTATCCGCTCGCGAATAAATTTATACTAAATCACGGCGATCCGTGTAATTATATCGTTATCGAGCCATTATACACGGTAATAAGTACACAAGCATGAATAATTCGCGGAAAGAAAAAGACGAGGATGAAGCGATCTGTGTTGTAAAGCACAAAGAAAAGGGAACATGGTTCCGTCTATTTACGTTTCTAGTAGCACGAAGTTGAAAACTAAGATAAAGAAGGCCCATATCAAGGTCCAGGCAGCTAAGTAATCCGGTTTCATGGATTTCCAAGTCTCCTTCTCTGAAAGCATACAACAAGTAGGTGGGCCGAGGATTCGCACACTCGTAAAATATGAGCGGGGCGCGCTTTGTTTACAGCGCAACGCGTGCCGCAGGCAATGCTGAATTAATGATTGCCAGTAGCTCATTATACCGGATGCTTTTCCTTGCTCCCGCATGGCCTCCCTTGCGGCGATCTTGCGCTCCTTAAAGCTGCCGGGCAGAAAAAGAGCGAAATTCAGCATTCCCATAAGTACGTTGATCCAACCGGCCGCTGTGTACATATTCATAGGCAGACCCATTATGCTTGTGCCGCGGTCTCCTAAAGGAGTCACCGCCATTTGCAACGCCGGGCCTACAACGAAACCGAGCACCTGAAAAGTCGTTTCGTAACCTTTAGTCGACCAAGGAGAAACATTAAGCAAGGAAAGTGGCAGGTACCCGGTTAGGTACTTCGGTTAGGGTCAGACCGCTGCGCCAAGAGAGAATGCTCGAACGTATTTTTTTTTTCTATCTTGTGGGCTTCCGTAGACGACCAGTCTATTACCGAGGCTGCGCCGAATTAGCCAGCTCTGCTCGCGTTTCACTGGCGACATTATGCTTACTTGACGAAGAGCGCGCTTATTAAGCACGCCACTTCCAATTAATGAACCGAAAGAAATAGACAACCGGTACAATTTTTCCTTTGAAAATCTACATTTTGATGGAGAGCTCAGCAGCGAGCAGTTATAGCTAGAACTTGGCGATGTAAAAAATTTAATTTCGGACAAAAGCCGCGAGCTCTTATGCTCTGAAAAATTATTTAATTTCATCTGCTAGCCACGAAAACAATAATTGCGCGCGAAGCTCAAATGTCCGCGGTAGCTCTCACGGTGTACGAGAGAAAGAGAGAGAGCACGCGCAATTTAAATATTTGAATATTATCTGGTGAAATCGTGCAGCGCGCTGCTCTGTGGGCGCAAGAGAGGCAAAATAAAAGAAGAAGCGCGCAACAGCCAGAAAACAGAAAAGACAGGGTAAGATAAAGACTCGGGGAGGAATGTCTCGCAGTGACAGAAAGTACGAATTACCTGTGCAAGGGAGACGAGGGAGACAGCCTGAGTCCTCTCGGAGAGTCTGGTAGCAGCAGACAGATAAGAGCGCGCCACCGCGATGTTCGCTGCGAAAAGTAACACATACACTCGCAAACAAAACACACGAGGGAATATAAGTAGAGTCGCGCGCGAGGCAGAAGCGAGAGTCGTTCTCAGATCGCGGAAAAAGAGAAACAGCGTTACAGCATCGAGGCAGGTCGAGGAGAGCGATAGGGGGCGATATAAAGCTCGCCCCGGCACCCGAGGGGCTCACCGGCGCGCGCACGCACACAATCTCTCCGCGCTTAACGCTTTTTGTTGTTCTTCCTTCGCTCGGCTGCACCGAGATTGCGCGGGCAAAGCTTCCGAGGCCCCTTTGCAATTTTTAAATGTGTCGGGAATTAGGAGCGCGACCGACGCAGAGCTCATTCGGTACCGGCTCTCGGCCGACCTGAATAACTCATAATCACGCTCCGAGATTGTGTGCTCGAGATTTCTTCGTCTATTTCGTCGCTTCTTTTTGCGTCTCGCTTCCCTTTTTTTTTCTTTTTTCTCTTTTTTTTTTCGCTCTCTCGCGCGGCTCTCACGTGCATTAACTCTAAGTAACTTTGCATTGAATTCTTGATGGCCTCGTGATTTTAAGCTTTCAACTCGTTAAATATTGGCCAGCATGAAGAGCTTGACGATTTAGCGAGTGTAGAATATATCCTCAATTTCGCGGTTACTCTTATAGCTGGTCTTTCAAGAACGACTCTGCTGACTACTCGTATTTTTTTTATTTTGCACTGTCAGCGCTAATTTAGTTGTAGAAATATCATTTCTCTTTTGTTGCGCGGGGAGGGACTGTATCATGTGCCTATTTTTGCGAATTCATATACTTGAGACTTTTATTCCAAATTAAGCAATGATTTTATTAGTAGGAAACATTAAAAATCAATAAAACGATCTGACAAATAAAATGGCCATAGGGACCAACCTCTTAACTAAGATTGGAAAATTCATTTGTACATTAACTATTGTACTAGACAGAATGAACGACTTGTTTTGTGCGTAAAACGGCACCCCAATGTATCAACAAACGTTTAATTAAAGTCTCATTAGTAAAAAGTAAAAACTCACCCGAGCTGACGCCGACGAGGAACCTTGAGGCAGTCATGAAAAACTTCTGATCGCCAGGCATAATTTGAAGGACACTGTAGAGGCTTGACGCAAAAGTGAATAATGCGAGGGTGACAAGCATGGGGAATCTGATGGAGTCACGCCGATTACCCCACCAACCAACCAACGGCGAGAAGATCATCTGAGCAAGAGGATTCGCTGCTACGACGTAGCCCATATACGACATGCTCACCAATGGATCCAACTGTTGGCAAGCCAAATATTTCTGGAGAAACGCGACTTAATATTTCAAGTTCGATCCTCGTAAATTCACCGACTATCCGCTTATAGTCTCTTTCGGCTTTGTTTACGATCGCTCCCTCTTCTTTTTCTTCTTCTTCTTCTTCTTTTTCTTCTTTTTTTTATTTTATTTTATTCATTTCTTTTTTTTGGCGGACGCGCGTTCGCCGCGCGAACAAATCGGGGGATGTTGCGCGCGCGGTAGATTCCAGACCTTCTTCCTCTGTCTTTTTTGCCTTTGAGCGACTGGGGAATCTCGTCACTCGCTTAGGAATCGCTTCTTCTTCATTTTCTTCTCCTCTGCGACAAAGCGCGAGTATTCCCCAGTTGGGAATTTCGGGCGATTTTTCGGATCGCTACGTATTCCAAATGGCTGGCGCGGCTCGAGAATTTTAATTCAATACATTAGAGGCGCAAAAAGACGCGGCTCGATCGCTGAATTTATTGCGAGGCTGCTTCGCTTTTTCCCCAATTGGCCGATCGCATAAGGCATTATACCACGCTCGAATTGATCTTTTGAAAAGGCCAGCGTAAGATGAGAAAAACAAAACGCACGTAACGGCTTTAATCACTTTACCCATAAAAGCAGGTTGAAAAACGCTTCGGCAAAAACCAGCGGTACGTCTAAGTAGTGTGTATGGAGAGGGCGCCCATTATACGGTGAGCGAAAAGGTTTGCGTTTCTTTAAATGAGAGCGGTAATCGTGGCGCAATTATAAGTTGCTGCTGTCGTAAATCAGCGATGCCCGAAACTTCATCTTACAAATCGCGAACGAGGTTTTACGTTGGTGTTCCTCGTAAAAGAGTGGGGGGGGCGGCAGGGGAGGAGCAAACAAAAGTAAAACCCTACGAGCTTCAAGATCGGACTGGCTGGCGAAATTTAGTTCGAGAAGTACGTGCGAGTGAGCGGGAGATTACCTTGTGTAAATATGGCCAGACACCAGACAGCACGATACTGAAGCCCAAAGACATGAGGAACATCGTGAAATAGATGACAAAGAGGCTCTTGTGACGCTCTTTGCGTTCTTCCACCGTCTCTAACTCGTCGTCTACCAAGCTGCAGCCTGCCCTGTATCAATAAATAATAACATCTCGTTATATCTAACAATATATTATGTGAATTTTTATGCGACTTTACTAGAAGAGACGTGAATCAGAAAATTCACTGTCACTAAGCATGACGTTTACTAGTTATAGATATCTGGTAAGAAGTAGAAAATAATTAACCATTCGAATTGTAAAGAATTCGTTTATCATTCACTAACGAAAAACCGCCAGAGTCAAGCTATACTCGAATAATCATCGGTTATTTCATGCTGGCAAGGGCCAAGCAAGCACGTGCGTCAACATCATGCAACGTACATTTGCATGCACGCAGCCAGTACGTTGCCAAGAATCAACATCGGGCAATAGTGTATGGACATAGGCGCACGGGATTAAAGTTCTTTGATAAAGAGATAAAAAAGTACTTTCGCGAACTCCATAATAATAACGTAACTGCTTTGAAAGACAGAAAAACATTGACGATTGCAGTTTGAAGTACGAACGAAGGAAATGAGGCCTTTAAACGGCCATCAAAGTGTGCGCTTGGCTTTTTTTCATCCTCTGGCGAAAACCCGACGACGGAGAGTCAAGCAAAACATACACACACACACACACACAGTGTAACATGTCAATGCGACTTCTCTCTCCCTCGGCAATTTGCCGAAGTCAAACAAGTCAGGCATTTACTTAAATTAAAATAATTACGTCGATTCACGATATCCGTTTAGAGTTTCACAACATTTTTTTACCAAGCGAGCCTATTGTCATTATGTCACGGACGACGTCGTAATTTCTTGAGGCATCGTTGCGCTGCTTACTTATCTTACACGCAATGCCGATGAATTTCAGAGACTACGATAAAAGCAAAAGAAGGAAGGAAGGCAAACCCAGGGCTGTATACGAAGCTGGTCATAAAGCGATTCAGTATCCGCGTGTGCAACTTTGAATCAGCGTGTACAAACTGCTCTTGCCTCGGTAGAACACTGCAATGTCGCCAACGCGTAAAAGGAACTCGTAAAAAACTCCCCCCCCCCCCCCCCCTTCGCGGCCGATCCGCGCGCGCACTCGTATGTGTAATCATCACAAGGATAAAAGAAGTCGAGATTTGCCTGTATGACACTTTATCCTGTTCATTTTGTGCGTTGCATTAAAAGCACGAAACAAGCTTCAATTGTTTTTGGTTATCGATGGGACGCGCGAGCGACAAAATAGCATCAAGTAACCGTTTATTGTAACAGCACCATGATAAATACGTCGAGGTTGTTGTACGAATAAGTTGTTTGAAGCACGAGTTGACGAATCATTCTTACGTATCGCACGCGCGTTGCAATCAAGTGCTTTGTTTAGCGAAAAAATCAACAGCTGTTAGTCATCGATGCACAATGAAATTTGGTCAAGTTTAATTAGAAATTCTCGACAGCCTATGATTAAGATTTGAAACGTTGTTATTACCGATTTGATTATATTGATAGTTGATCAAAGAGCTGTTGCAACTATTTTAATTAGTAATAAAAGGATAAGATCTGGCTGTCGATAGCAAATCTGCAATTTCACACTTCAATGTTCCGATGTAAATCATTCTCGCTGGCGTTTGCCTTCCATTCGGTTCCCATGAAATTTGAAATTGATCAAAACCGAGAGAGAATAGATAGATAGATAGATAGATAGAGAGGTGATGTCACGAACCATTTCCAGAAGCACCCGGACAGTCTTTGCCAGCCGAGGGACGCGTGTCGTAGAAAGGCCATCGGCCGGTTGGACGAGAGTCGCTGCCACCAGGACATCCTCGTGGGACTCAGTAAATGTCAAAGCGAAAAAAATGTGAGAGCTTGTCGCTGACAGATAAGGCGCCGGCTGCTGTTGCAGCTCCACGACAATTCTAGTGCATCTCTTCGTCATAAAAGTCGATCATCGCGCGCCAGTCTCATCTCAAAGCTTCCTTTATTGTCGGCTGTACCGTTGGAGACTGAAATGAATGCAATTCTGATCTACTTTCGGTTTATTCTGATTGCTGCATTTTCTATAGCAAATGAATGGAATTAGTATTTATATTATTGTAATAATAATTTTAGTACTATCGAACCACGCGTTAACATTTTATTGTGAGTTGGATAAAAACAATGCAAACTTACTATACAATTTACTATTTACAAAAAATACATTTTCATTAATGTTTTAACATGAAGCTCTCCAACTCAGCTACATTTTTAGGTATTGGACTGATCTATTCATTGCGTTTATGAGAAGCGTAATTGTCGATTATGTAATTAAGATGCATGAAAATTTCATCGAGGAATGATTACGCGATATACTACTTCTCTTGACTTTCTAGTTAGACCAATTCATAGTAAACTACTGTCGATATTTCGTAAGCAACTGGCTTACTCGAAGATCTCTATTTTATCATCTGCTGCAACGGCTATTGAATTTGTCACAATTTATGCATTTTTTCAATAACAAGCAATCTATAATCGATATCTCTGTTTCTCATTCACCTTCGTTAATATTTTTAAATGTTAATGTTTCAAAATATTTAAAAAAATAATATTACACTTACTGAAATTCTATGAAAAGAACAATGGCAATATTGATGGAACTATCTAGTTTAATGAATGCTTTGTTTTATTGAGTACGACTGTGATTAAGAATTGATTTTCAAAATTTTAAATAAATAATAAAAATGACAAATTATTAACAACGTTAGTCGAGATGATTGTTAAGCACTGGATGACATATTAGATTAGATTAGGATATCAATCGGATTATTAATTGTTTCACAAACCGACTAATCGTTTGAAGAGCACTTGATGAAGAAATAACAATTTTGTTGTAAAATGTTTATTATCTTATTCTGATACGAAGCCATTTAGTAGTTAGGAATTTCAGCGTCTATGCATTTTACTATTTACGAAGAATACATAGATTCAAATGGCACGGATCAAAATTGTAAATTTTTACTAAAGTTTTACAAAGAAATTCTCAGACTCAGTTATATTTTTAAGCATTGGACAGGTGTACTTATTTAGTTTATGAAAAGCGTGATCGGGAATAAACGTGAAATTGCTATTCGTTTGATAATTTATTTAAGTATTAAGCTTTTTTCTTGCTACGCAGGCATACCCATTTTAAATCTAGTAATAACAAAAATAAGTATAATTTTTATGATTATATTTTTTACAATGCGATATATAGCGATCCATTACTAAAAGTACGGACTACTCGCAGTGTTCCCGGATGCCTAGCACTCATAAATCAACGAAATGAATTTTTGAAACAAATAGTTTGATATTGTCGAACTGCACTTACGTCACCAGCAACTTTAAAAGCAACGAAGAAAACTGAAAAGTGTTCTTTGTCTTTAGCTGATTTGCGCACACGCAACACTTTCTTGACACCCGCATTCTTTGAAATAAATTATTCTTATTCCGCGATCGGGCCAAACAATCGTGTGTCTGCCGTTGAATTTAAATAATACATGGCAATCGAGCACTCACCTCTAGACGCGAGCGCGTTGAAAATGTATCCTGCAGCGCAAACTAGGTTTGGAATGGAACTGCGGTATATTTAAATCAGCGAAGCCTACTCTTCGCGCACGAAGAGACCGAGTGAGAGTGAACGACAAGAGAGATAACGCCAGGCAGATTAACGTATATTACTTGCTTATCGTATAACAGACGTACAAAAGCAGATTTCTTCGAATCTCGGCTCCAAATATGATCGATCAAAAACTAGAGTGTGTATTACTTATAGTTTTGGATTCATCAATGTTTAAACTATTCGATTGAATAAGTTTTCTTATTAATAAACACTTAAATTTGGCCTCGTAACCGTTTGTTTGCATGGACCGAAACATTTTGAAATTGACGAGACAGGTCCCTTTGATTCGTATTTGATAAAAAATCACGTCTAATTATTGATGAACAACGCATCGACAGTCTACATTATTTCGCAAACCGATATTTTATTTAAAGAACTAGTTTTCACGTAAGAAGTTGTTTCCAGGGTTTTTTACTCGGCGAGTAATATACGTTGATCTGTGCTTCACTTTTATCTGCCTCATTCGGGCTCTACTCGCCGCGAGAAAGTCTCCGGTTAAATTAGGCCTCTCGCTCACCGAGAATATTGGCAAATACAAAAGGTGTGAGCGATTAGTTATCTGCAAGCAGTCCTGGTTATTCACTCTCTCTCTCTCTCTCTCTCTCTCTCTCACTTTCTCAGCTGTAGATAGCAATTACATATCACGTGCGCGAAGAAAGAAAAAATAACACGTGCGGAGCTCCACAGGTGTTCGTCGCGCTACTGACCTGTATAACGCACACGCAACATTCATATAAGCGCGCAACGCCAAGAGTATCGGAAATAAAATTTCGGACGAGAGTTTGGTAGCAGCGGTAGCTGTAGTGCTTGCGTGTCGTCTGCTGCTTCTGACAGGGCGTCATTGCGTGCGCTATATCTGCGCTACGCGCGCCCGCTGCATATTACAGAGTGTACACGCTGCAACAACAAACTCAAGGACGAACAGATTGGCATTGGAAATCTAAATCTCCAAGCTAATCGCGATAGCGGGCACCGAGATGGATAACCCGCCGCGCAGAAGGATCGCGGAAAAGAAAGTTTTAACTCACCTTTCTCCTACAGATGTTTACTCGGATGATGATCTCTTTGTTCGCGTGTAGCAGCGGAAGATCGGCCATCGCACGCTACTGCTGCTGCCGCTACGTTCTCTCGCGAATCATCGCGTCAGCACTGTGCGTACAGCTGTCCGTTGGCATATGGAATTACGCACCGATGATAGTGTCGCTCTTCGCGCTTATTTTTTTGCTCGAAGTAGACAAGGAGAAAAGAGAAAAAGTGAGCGTTCCTTGCGTACGCAGGCACGCACACACGCACGCATAACCGCGCGCACGCGCTTTCGCTCACTGACACATATACGCGAGCGCAGCGTCCGTCCCTCCGTGAATTGCTCGCGCGCTCCTTTATTTTTCAATGGAAAGGTGGTGGTGGTGGTGGTACTGCGTTAAGCCTCCGTGACACATTGTCGGCGGACCCGTCTTTTCGATCGTTCCAAACGAAGTTGCCAAGTCATTACGAGTTTTCGTGACCAAGGATCGGTCGCAGAGGTAGAAAAGTCAATCGGAATGGTACCGCCGGCACCTGTATCGGAATGCAAAGGTAGGAAATGTCAACGTGTCGATGACTTTGTGAAAGCAGCTTTATGACAAGTCATACACGATGCACTCGAGCGCCACTGCGACGTGCACTTTTCTGTTTGACCGATCGAAAAATCCAAATGTATGCGATACTGCTGGGAGAGTGGGAGCTAGGGGAACGGGTGATCGTGTAGGAGGTTCGAAGAAAGCCGACGAGGTGCCGCTACTGTTCACTTTTCGCGCGCTCGCGTTTCGACATTTGCAAACAAACAAGTTGAAGGCTTTGCGTCGTCGCGCGATAAACACAGATCTCGAACGTTTATTTTTTTCAGAGATCATTGCCAGTCTCGATGATGTTTGTTATCTACAACGATGGCAATGTATAACGATGACTTTTAGTCTATGTATCTCATGAGCGCTTCTTTTACAGAATGTTCGTCAGAAAAATCATAAAAATGAAACCGTATTCAAATTGGAAGTATCGTTGAATGGTCAATGGGTAATCGATCATCTCTCGACGGCAATATTTTAAACAAATAGCCACTTGTCTCTCCAACGTTACAATTTATTTCAATCGCTAGGAAAGATGAGCGTCCACCCAAGAAAAGACCAGTGGAGACAATAACCATAATTTCGAAAATCTCCACAATGCGAGAATGGTTTTCATTGTTCTCGGCGGTGCAAGCTAGGAAAAAAAGAAACCCCCGATAGTAGTGCAATTCCTTCAGCTTTTGTGATGCAGTTTTCACGCAGCGCGTCCGTAAAATGCACATCTCGACCGCGGTTGCAATGGGAGGTTCTCCGATCGTCTGTCTATAAGCTCGTTTGAAAGGGCATTGTTGAATAGAAGTGTCGATAGCTTCCTCCTCGTTATTATTCAGCGTTTCGCATGGGTGTAGTACGTCCTCAGTGATTGACTCACGTTATTTACCGTGTGGTGCTGCGACAAATTGGCATGCATTATCGTCATTGTTTTCCCACGCGGTCGGTTGTGGCGCGCGTCTTCCACCTTCTCCTCCTCCTCCTGCTCCTCTTGCTTATACGGGAACGAGTTTCGCGCGCGAGTTTACGAAAACACGCATATGTACACACACCACACGCTCATCGCCGAAGTACGTATATACAAGTCTCGGCAAATTGTTTGAAATTGCCTATCGTTACTCTCTCTCTCTCTCTCTCTCTCTCCTTCGTCGTGAACTTTTGTAATTCCTTTTTCTCGACGAATCGAAGTTTACTAAAGTTGGTTGCCGAAGAAAAACCAAAACGGATTCCCTCCTCTTTCTCGGTTACATCGCTGGATTGCTATCTACTTGGCGAAAACGATAAGATCGCAGTCGAGCTCCGCAACGACGCGGTGACAAGCTGCTCGATTAATGAGCTAATTTACCCGGCTCCAATAATACACCCATCCCACGATCTGGAGTGCATAAACGTCGCGATAAATACGTAAGACGGATACGTTGCACTTGGATCGTTATTATTGTGTTGAGCACTGAAACGTGTACATTTAAACATTGCAATGTGTGTGAGCGAAAGGATGACGTTCTTATTTTCAGCGTTGGAGCGCGACTTGGTAGCCGAGAGGAGAGAACCAGCCCCGGCAAAATAAGCATCTCATTAATTGCTCGCGTCTGGCGATAAATCTAAGCTGCTGCTGCTGCTGCTGCTGCTACAGCAAGGCACCCTACCAAGTCGTCCCGATAAATAGCTAGGCCGTACCGGACCCGCTGTCGCCTGAATTTCAACGCATTTTCTAACGAGGTCGTGGCTATGGCTTTCTTGTGACATATTTTAGCGAGTTATTTATACGGCTCGGTTGACACAATGAAATATTTGCAATACCTATTGTATTATGTTACACTCGCAGTTTTGAAATCATTCGCTTTGGCAACGATTATTATAATTATCGATTTTTAAGTACGACGACGATGATAATATGTAAAATTATTTTTACTCAGCTTTATGGTGACTATTACTTTATGGCTGCTGATTTTAATCTCAATCAATCGGATAGATCGACATAGTACTTCCAACTTTAGAAAAAGATATGAAAATATGGTATTGAACTATGATTGATTTCATATTTCGATAGTTTCTCGGGCAAGTGGGAAGCGACGTCCTTTGTCTGTGTATAGTCCTCTCATCGTCCGTACAGTTGGATAAGCGGCGCAGGTCTCAACGCGGATGACCGTCAGAAGTACGTAGCGTTGTCACCTTAATGTCCCCGCAGAAAGCAAAACAGTATTGTGTTCCTATAACGGTGGCGATATGGTTTTACAACTTCGGTCTACGCTCTACCTAGTAACTGCAGCGGAGAATCGTATGCTCGGCGGAGTCCTCCATCGGAGTTGAGCAGTATCGACACCATAGTATTGTTGTCCTATCAGCATTTCTATTAGTTGAAATGATAGCTGTCCATGTGATTGTTCCAGCCAAGACCGAATCGGGGGGAATCAGTCGATGAGTCCACCGTTTCTATTGCCACTTAGCAATCATCTCTTCATCTCTACTCGGCGGTCTTTGTCACTCCGATCATCATTCAACGGATCTCGGCAGGTTGTCTTTGAAGCAAAGGTTCAGTAGTATATACCGGCAGCTGCTGAGGCGGTTTTACCGTTCAAGGCTACAAAGACAGCAGTGGGAAGGAGTAATATGTAGAAGTGGTCGGCTTCTTCAGTCCTCATCGCTGACGACACTCTTCTGGCTGTAACCTGTCAGCAAGGAGCCTTAGACTCGCATTTCTCGGTTTTCTCAGGTTGTCTAGCGGACCACCCGATGCCCTTGAGAATGAGGGCATGAAACCTGTCGACGTAGGAGCCCATTGGACGAACAGATTATCGCCGTGTGGTTATCGTTCAAGCATTTGTATCACAACCCAACCCTCTGTCTAAGAAAAACTGTCTTTTCCTCTGACTCGAGGCTGCGAACCGTTAGGCCGCTGGTAGAAGTCGTACTATTGGGTGACGGTGGATTCACTCTTGACGACCTACTCGCTCTCTTTTTTACCAGTTATCCGGATGATTGAGTCCATGGCTTTGCCACCACGATGGACGACCAAGTCGTCCCAGTTGCCGATAGGTCGTCTTGATTTTTCGAACTGAGCCTACAGCGCTTCAGCTTATTGAAAAGGTCCTGCAGTTTTTTGAAATTCTCCCACCTTAGGCCCCTCTTGACTTGATAACAGCATTAGCATTGCGGGAGAAGTTTAAGAGCGAGAGGGCTGGGACACTTCTCCATGCGTTTGGCCAGTTACTCAAACACTACTTTAAATAAAAATCAATTTTTTTGTTGTGCACTACGATCAGACATTTTCGATTAGTACAATATTTCTGTTGTGAATTCCGGACCTAAATCAGAAATGGAAAAAAGTAACACAATGTGTTACAAAGAAATATGTAAATGATTGCAAGTAATTTGCGATATTTTAATATTCTTTTACAATATAATTTCGTTATACCATATATGTGGAAATTATTTATGCTTTGTAAACTTTGATTTTAAACCGATACAATAAATAATTTTCCGGAGAACTTTTAACTTGTCAAACTCATTACATTTACATATTGTTTCGTGATGTGGTAAAGAAAATATAGCATTTTCTTCAATGAAGGGAACGAAAAGTTTCTTTTAACTTCTATAATATCCACGAATTTTGGATTAATACTTTCTTCTGCAAATATGCTATAAAAATGTTTATGATTTAATGGATTTTTATAAATACTTTATTATGGATGAAAAGACATGGGAGCTTGAATAAACATATTATGAATAAAACTTCGTTGATTTAAACAATTAAACATATACTTGTCTCGATTGATAGTCTTTGACAGTATAAAAAATATGAAACGTAATATTTAATCGTCGTTAAAGGATTAATTTGCTTGGAAATAAAAAAGTAACTTATAATTTTGAATTTCAATCGATGTACTTAGATAGGTAAAAAATATGGATAGAAATATAGCGAAGTTGAAGTTTGTGGACACTTTACAGTAGCATGATAAAATGATTTTCAGTGAGGAAAACTGCATATTTAGCTACAATTATGAAGCCAAAGGATTAGCTCTCAACCGGATAAACATTACATGCGAGACATTACCTCGCAAAATTCAATTTGCTAAACATAAACTTAGCATCTTTTGTCCTTAACAGCACGTCCCATTCATTGCTAAAGGCATTAATTCAAGAGTGCGCTGAGCCGTAGTAGTGGTAGTATAGTTGAGAGCTCAGAGCCAGCCAACTATGCACTAAGCCTGCTAAAAGCAGCAGCAAGCTGGGCGTACTTTGTTTATCATCTAAGGTAATGAGGTGCCTCTCTCTCTCTCTCTCTCTCTCTCTCTCTCTAGGTTCTCAGCACAAGAAAGCTTCGAGAACGTCGCGGAGCGCAACTTTCATCTCTAGTGACCTGCGCGCACAAGTGTGTGGTATATACGAGCTTCTCGTGCAATCCAAGTGCCTCTGGCTAAAGCTGCTTACCTGCCTTCCCAAACAAAGACAATCTATGTACCAACCCCAGTGCTCAGTCAAAGGGGTTTTCTCAACCCTCCTGCTGAGTAAGCGTGCAAGAGGTTATACCTATAAGCGGCTTGTCGCTCCACGCGATATGCTTCGTTTTTTTTTTCGTTGCTCGTCGTTTAAGCGCTTCATCGAGTAAAAGGTGGCCGTTGCTTGCGCGCGAAAGAGCACAAGCAACAGGTGTTATCACCCGATAGCATGCTACCTCTCCCCCTTCCCTTTTCGGCTTGATTTCCGGGGCCGTTTGTCACTCTAGAAAGACTT